TAATGCTAAATGATTGTGCTCGATGTATAACCAATTGTGGTTTGGGTTCAATACGAACAAAACTATTTAAATTTTGTTGTTCACAAAAGAATTGCAATAGCCTACTATTTAATAATGTTGTAGTGAAACATGGCATGTACCTCAGAGCCATATGGCTGTGTTGAGTGTACAGTTTCAATATAATTAATAACTAAAAAAAGAGATCTTTCAGAGGACAGCTGCTCCTTCTTTAAACTAAAAATTTCACAAATATAAAGAATATAAAAAATTTTGGAGTTATTATAACAAAACAAAAATCATAACAAAATGAATATAAATAAAACATAAAAAGAAACAAATTCGGGTGGAATGTGAACAACCAATCTTTTAACTTCGGGAAAAACTTATTTTTCCTTTTTTCACTACTAATTTCCAATGGAATTTTATTGAAGAAGGTCACGGAGGTATAGGAATACAATCGTTTAAACGCTTCAGATGTAGATTTTGGAATTACTACACGATTTAAATATCTTAACCTAGCTGAATACATCAGAGTTTGAAACTGATTGGCCACCCCTTAAATAAAAAATACGTAAAACTTTGAAGGTGTAGAGATGTCTAAATGAAGTACTTTCAGAATGTTAAAGAACGGATATGAATGCTCACCCCTCCTAACGCGAAAAATCTGTCTACAATACTTTTTTGTGCTACAACAATAGGATTGACTGTAGTAGTATAGGCCCCAACCCAGCAGGACAACCCGTACTGTATCTTACTTTCTACATTCGCAAAATAAATTGTTTGCAAGTCAGCCAGTGGACAAACATACTTTAATGAATAAAATTTCCTCAAAACCATATTTGTATATTTTTTTATCCCAGTTATATGGTTCTTCCAATTGCAGTTTTCATCCAGATGTAGGTATACCCAGATACTTTTATACACACCTGTTCAACCACAATACAATTAACACAAAAATTTGAATTTTTTTCTTCCTTTAAACAGTTTACACATTTAAAATGCATATTGTTAATTCTGTTGTCTTTAAGACCCGATGAATGATGGTTTTTTCACTTAAAGCTAATTGGTTAACAGTAAACCATATCTTTAAATTATTTAGATCTTTTTGTATTATATTTTCCAAGCCACGAGACGTACTTGCTGTATAACAGAAAGCGGTGTTGTCGGCAAATTTATATATATAATAAAAAGAATCGGCCCAAGATGGAGCCTTGTGGAACTCCACAGGTAACGGGTAATAAAGAACTTGTAACCTGATCTACACGTACACACTGGTTTCTATGCAACAAATAACTCTTAAACCACTCCCCTTATACCTGCTTCATACATTTGTTGCAATAGGATGACATGGTCCACTGAATCAAAAGCTTTGGTGATGTCAATGAAAAGTCCTGCAACTTTTTGTTTGGAGTTTAAACCACCGAATATACCTACCCGTGCAGAAAGACAACAGAGCGTCCTTAGTTGACTTGCCCTCAACAAAACCGTATTGCTTGTTACTAATAAACTTATTTATATTTAAAAATTTCAAAAATTTTTGAAAAAATGGAAAGCAATGAAATCGGCCTATAATTATTTAAAGCTGTTCTATCGCCTTTTTTTAAACAGGGGTACCACAACGGCGTTTTTCAAACTGTCTGGAAATTCACCGCTCTGCAAGCTTATGTTAATTATTTTTGATAAAACTGGACTATTTATATCATTAACACTTTATACCACATATGCAGATATTCCATCCAGTCCAGGAGCCTTATTAGGCTTTAACTTGGTGATGTGATTGTACAACAAACTTCTTCTTTATATGTGGGTAAATAAAAGGAAAAATGATTTTTGATTATAATTACAAGGAAATATTTTTTGTAATCATCACCAGTATCCAAACCGTTCCTCAGATTAACGACAGCGTTTTTAAAGAACATGTTAAATTCGCTTGCTATGTTAAAAGCGTTTGTTAGCATAGGTAATGGTAGGTTGCTCAAATTCGTGTACGCAATGAAGTGTAGTATTTTTTTTCGTTAACGCCCAAGATGTTATTGATAATCTGCCACCGCCTCTTTGTGTCGTTTTTATGCGCATTGAACAAGTTTAAATAATAGTTACTTTTACGAGTTTTCATATCGTTTTTTTAAATTTAAAGAAACTGTTTCATAATCGTGCTTAAGTTTAGAATTTAGAGGATTTTTTTAAAGTTTCTTATATAACAGATTTCTGCGTTGTTCACGTATGCACAGTTCAACAGTCATCCGAGGTTTATATACAGACATATGGATCTCAAAAAGAGCTCTAGATAAATTGAATTGGAAAATGCGCTAAAAATGGCGCTCAATATTATCATGAAGATCGCCGCACAAATTTCCATGGTAATACTAAAGACGATGTGCCAATGAAATATAACAGAAATCGAACACCGTTTTTCCGAAACCAAAATCTATCAGTCGAAATTCATTTGGTGACATTCGATAAAAACGGATGAATGTACCCGACCCCATTTATTTTCGTAATTTCTTTTTTAGGGCGGTAAAATCGAATAAAGTACAATATACAGTTCTATTTTAAGGTTACGGGCTAAAACCATGATGTTTCAGTAAAGGAAACATTACCAATGAAATATATAACGCTCCCTTATTTTAATATTGGGGGGCTAAAATTGTGAAGCTGTCCTCTTAAAATTAATTTTTTCAGTATCTTTTTTTTAGGGAAATGCGCAAAAGAACAATCGAGGTGTGCCTACATGTGCAAACAAATTGCAAACGAATGAAGTTCAATTAATTTAATGTTGGGGGGCTAAAATCTTGAAGTTGGTCCCCCAAATTTGTTTTGAAATCTTTTTTTGGAGAAATGTGCAAACGAAAAATTTAAGTGTATCTACATGTGCAATTAACGAAGGAAGTATTTGACGTTTCATTATTTTAATGTTGGGGGACTAACTTCACACAGGTCCAATATTCGGGGGGTGAGTGGCGCACTAATCTTCTGGGGACAAATTTTTCGAAGGCGAGGGGCGACTCTATCAGAGGCGAATTTTCCTGTAGTGCATTTTCACTAGCAATCACCGTAGATTGTACCTTAACATAAGGTTATCGTCGAAAAGCTTGCGATACAGATTGTTTACTTTTATAAAGTTTACAACTCCGCAAGGGAAAAAATGCGATAGCAGGGGCGTCGCTAGGAAATTTTCCAAGGGGGGGCAGCGTGAGATTTTTTTAATGAGGTTTTAAAGGGGCAATTTGGGAACATATATCTATTATATACAGAGTGCCCCAACGAGAAGTATACAGAGGGCTTTTAGGGTATTAAATTTAGAAATTTCGAAAAATCCTCGAACACGTCAATTTTGTATTCGAGGGGGACAACTTTTGGAATACAAATCACGAACCCAAGTCTTCACCCCTCTACGTAGGGAGCTTAACCCCTAAAATTTTAAATGGAATCCTATGGCAAATGGCACATTATTTGAAAGCCAATTTAATCGTGATTACTAATCTGCTTTGCTTTTTAAATTCTATTGATTCGTTTCGAAGATATTCGCATTTGAAACCAAAACAAATGCGATCTAAATCACCTTGTATTAAAATTTAATTTTAATACAAGGTTTAAATTGTGCAAAAAATAACAAATAACTTTAAACACACATCATTTATTTCCATAAATGCTCGAATTGTAATGTTCCGGGCGGAGTAGCATAAACTTTATTCTTTAAATATCCCCACAAGAAGTAATCTAAAGGAGCGTATTCAGGCGGGGATATATATATATTTATTATATCAGGGGAAAAACCATTTTAAATGCGAATATCTCCGAAACGAATCAATAGAATTTAAAAAGCAAAGCAGATTAGTAATCACGATTAAATTGGCTTTCAAATAATGTGCCATTTGCCATAGGATTCCATTTAAAATTTTAGGGGTTAAGCTCCCTACGTAGAGGGGTGAAGACTTGAGTTCGTGATTTGTATTCCAAAAGTTGTCCCCCTCGAATACAAAATTGACGTGTTCGAGGATTTTTCGAAATTTCTAAATTTAATACCCTAAAAGCCCTCTGTATACTTCTCGGTGGGCCACTCAGTATATAAATTCTATAACGTAAATGTATATTTCCACAAACGGACTTATGTGTACAAATACATATAAAAATTATAGGAAATTATCGCAAACACATTCGACGTGGATTGCTTGCAAAAATTTCTACAGTTTGGTTTATATAATAATCTTGATTTTTGAAAATCATATCACGATGAACACTCATCATAGCCAAACCATCAAGACGGGCTTGTCCCATGGTACTTCTTAGCCACGTCTTTATCCTCCTTAGTCCACTAAATGACCGCTCCACCGTACATGTTGTGCACGGCAGACAAACTAAAATCTGCAGAGCTGTTTTAATTTACGGAAAGAACTCGTCTGCCTCTTTTAAAACATCCACCACGGTCAACTCGTCGATCGTTGTATCCACTTTATTCGCCCATAGATTTCGCCAAAGCTCTAGGTATTTCACTCGAAATGTTAGGAAGGTTATAAATGTGATTTTAGATAAAATCATATAAACTGCACATGTAAACGTGGACCGTGGTAAGTATATCACACGTTTTTATAAGCAAGGTTCTGTAATTTTTGTGTTCATTTTTCATTTCCAGGGGGGGGCAACTGCCCCTCCCTGCCCCTCGCTGGCGACGCCCATGTGCGATAGGGTTTAATGTATTTGTGATAGGATGGTTGATAATTATTGCAGACTGACGCAATTCTTATGAGGGCAAAACTATGAAGATCATAATGGTGATGGAAAAAGTGTCAATACCGTATCGTCCAAAATAAACCTGATTTTTTAATCTTTGTAGAAGAACTGCTCGAATTTGCGATTTGTCAATCTTCTGCATCTTGCATAATCAGTCATAGGTCAAGCTTGAAGTTCATCGCTTATCACACTCACTGCGCAGTTATTGATTCGAATCCTGGAGTATAAGTGCAATTTCATTCGATGATTTTTGAAACATACCCCAAACAGTATTCATTTTGGGTTTGTCTTCCTGTTGCCTCGAACACTCTTAATTGACGAATCAAAATTAGTTGCTCGAACTTGGGTGAACCCTATTATCCTTTTCTTCGCCTTGGATGTTACTGATTACCGTTATCCAACCACTGAATTGTGTAATTCGTGCATGTCTACATTGTATACGGCCATGACGGACACGTGTGATGATATCCTCTTGTTTCCACGGTTGGTTTGCAAAATTGCACGCGTTTTGTTTGTCTCTGTGATAAGATCGTGAAATAACAACAACTATCTTCATAATTTTGAGCGGAACCTATTACATTTATAAGTGAACGAAATCGAATCTTGGGAAAACGAGAATCCTTGGGCAAACTTCCTCGTGCGTTTAGAAATATGATCTTAATAAACAAAGCAAGGTAAACTGATTTTTTCCAGGTGAAGATATCATAATACAGAAATCTATACATACCTCTACTCCATTTTCAAGCGGGATCATTACAAGGCTATCAGATAAGTAAATTATTGACAGCAATTAATGTACACGTTACCAAGAAGCATGAATGAATAACTGAGGCTAATTACCTACCAACCTACTACAAAATTGATTAATTTTATTCCAATCGACGTTGTAGTTTCTATATCAATAAATCAATTCCGTTCACTTTCCAGTTCAATCATTTTTTTCACATCAGTGGCACGTTTTCAAATTTTGCAATTTCCCGATAACGTCTAAAATTATATTGTTTATAAACATCAACAAAATAAATATTGTAAATTTTTTTGAAAGTAAGGTCAAATAGTTTAGACGAAACTCACCAGTTTTCTTTGGTATAAGAGCTTTAATGACCGAAAATGAAAATACGTAAACGATAAAGTAAATTCAAATAGTAATAGATACAACAATTATTACTTTCACTAAATCAGTGAGGAATGTTTATTCGAAATATCACACGTTCTTAAGAATATAAGTAACGTCGCCATTGTGCCAACTTAATCGACCTCAAATATAAATAGTAATGTTTTATTTTGTTGAGTGCAGTTCAGCGAGCTTTACCACAGCCGGCACCTCATTGCCGGGGAATGGTATCGTGTTACGTGTTAAAAAGAGATACTATACGGTTTCATAGCTGACAGTGCGAGTTGGAATTGTCTGCGAAGAAATTTCTGCTACGTCGGCATTTTTGTAGACCACCTTCGATTGAGCGAGCCACTGCAAATTAACGAAGTATCTCCACCATTGCTGTCCATTAAGAAATAGGCAATGATTGCAATAATCATCCACCAATTCAAGTTGATCGAGAATTAAAATCTATGAATTTAGACAACGATTAGATTCTTATTTGTCTATTTATTATTACTGTATTATAAAAATATAATATTAAATAATTTTTAGTAAATATAATAATACAAATAAATAACAAACGTCAAAAAGAAATTATTATTATTATATGTACTTTGTGTGCTAGAAGTTGCTATTATCGTTTAAACAATATAAATAACCACGACTCACGACTGCGGAGTGAAGTGAACTCGAGAGTGTACCTACTCTTCAGATTCTGGTGTTTGGCTCGATATCTTTTCTTTAGAGAAACATAAATTCCCATCTGAAAAACAGCCAAATAAAAACAAGATTTTCTTCTCTGGAATGCAGATCTTATTCATAATGAATGTTGAAATACAGGGTGTTACATATAAGTCTGTAAAAAAAATTTGGGTTGTAGAGGGGATCAAAACAAGCACTTTTTCCAAATAAACCGAGGGTCCAACGGTGTTTCCTTTTGGAGCCACCTCCACAAAAGTCGTGAAATTTGCATTTTTTCTTTCATTTTTTCTCAGCATCCATAAGAGTTAGAAAAACTGGCGACACGTCTTTCAATAGGTTTTCGGGTATGCCCTTCCCCATGTTGTAAAAAATTCCCACCACGAAAGGGCGCACCCCTAAATGGGGGTCCGATAAAAATGAGGATTTCGACGAAATTTGGTATCTGGGGGTTTTTTAAAATCACTTTTCAAACAAAAGGTATACTCATTTGAAGATTGGGCTTTCGGGTCACAAAATGTCCCCCGCCTACTAGTGAGTAGCCCCATTTAGGGGTGCGTCCTTTCGTAGTAGGAAATTTGCAAAATCGGAAACCCGAAAACCTATTCAAAGACGGACCACCAGTCTTTCTAACTCTTACTTATGGTTGCTGAGAAAAAATTAAAGAAGATATGCAAATTTCATCGCTTTTGTGAGGGTGGTTCATAGAAACGAAAATATTGCTTCTTCCCATTTTCCTTGAGCCCTTACCAAAATATTTCGAAATGTAAGTTTGACTTGACTGGTAGTAATTTTATACCTTTCTAGCGGTAAAATAGATTGGCACCCTCCTCTAAAGGTTATAAGAATGGTACCCCATCTGACATTAAAATTTGCAAAAAGTTGAAACGGATGATGTAATTACGCTAAAAGTTGTTATTTTAATTACATACATCCAAAAGTATATCTATAACAAATATAAAAATACCAATTTAAGACATTTAAACTTTACCGTGACCTTCAGTAATAGTTGATAAGATAATTTCAGACATGAAGTGATTAAAGCGAGGAATTTCAATGAAATTATCTCCTAATCCTTGAACTCCATTTAGCTAATTTCCGTCCAAATTGTTTCTTCCTTAAAACCTACCTACTAACGCACGTACATCAAATTATCCTAGATGTGTTTAAGATTGTTGCAAAAAAAAAGTACAAAATTATAGGTCTACACAATAATATTGCGGAATTGGTGTCAATGTCAAGTGTATTTAATTTGATATACCCAAAACTTCGAAATCCGGTTTATCCAAAAACGCGCGATGAGACGAATCAAAAGCGAAACTTATAGACAAGGGCGACCTTCGGCGATTCGATTACAAACTAATAGCAAATTACGCAAACGGTCTACAAATTTTCGCACACCACGCACACTGCAAGAACAACAATTACCTCGGAGCAAATAAACCACTTTGCCTCGTGACTCATATTTTGCTCGCCTATCCTTGTAAGGACGTGCCCCATTTTACTCCTCGCAATCTCGCATCCTTATAAAGCGATTTAGTCGATGCTATTATGCGGTTTCCTAAACTTGCGAATTTCTTCACGCTCGATTATGACATGTGCAATTAACGTTCCGCCCTTGAAAAGAGTCGCGCGTCTGATGGCTTCTTGAATAATAATAGTAATAGTTCAATATTATGCAAATGGTATTAGGTATGTCAATGTCGGAGGAAGGAACAGATTGACCTAAATTTGTCAACAAGTTATTTCCAAATTAGATTTGTTTAGCAAATTCTAGTCAGGGTCTTCCTATAGTACCTAAACGGTTAATAGGTACCTCCCAATGGGAAACAATAACAATTGTATAGTAGGACTGGAAGATAATCATCGCATAAATTAATTACGCCCATAATTCAAAAACTCTTGAAACTTTTTTTTAATTCCTTCAGAGCTTTTGAATTTGGCTTTCGACTGTTTCTTCAAATTTATCGAATTGTATTTTTTGTAAACTTTTACAATTCTTTTGGTTGTTTGCTGGATTCTTTTTATTTTCATTTTTTCTGATTTTTTGGTTGTGCAAATCCTTAATTGTATAAGATTCTTTGGAATGTTCATTTTCTAATTGTTCATATTCTTCAAATTCTTATTTTTTTAATCAAAAGTACCCTTGATCGAAACTAAAATTATTTATTTATTTATTACCCCTCTCTTGTTCGTCACAAATTAGTTTTCAACCAAGCACGGCCGATCCCAGAAGCTCAAAATTAAATTCGATTTTTTTTGTCTTTTACAAGAGACGACCAAACAATCGGGGGGCAAACTGTATATTGAAGAACGTGCAATCCTTAAAAATGTTTACAAATTCATTGTTTTGTTCGGATTTCTCTGGTGTAGGTATTCAGATTCTATCGGTTCTTTGGATTGGATTGTTTAAAACTTTTCACTTCTTCGGAAAATGAATTTCCAAGAAACATACAGAAATTTACTTCCTTGTCAATAGGTCCTTATTGAAACACATGTACATAATCATGCAATTGGGGCCATTTAAATACTCGAAATATTTACATTAAATTGCTACAATGAAAAAGAAAAATTTGTCTATTTCTCGTAATTTGCTTTACCAAACAGATCTAACTAATGAACAAGTTACATTTACAACGATTATAAGATGTCATACGGATCGAAGGTGACTAACGGCTACTGTTTTAAATTCTATTTGAAATTGTAGACTCCGGGTAAAATTTCGAAAATAACGAAAATCTGGGGGGTTGTTATCGTTCTTATTGACCAGAAAATTTTCTTTACTGTTTGCAACTTTTTAATAGCACCGAATTTAGAAATTCACACTTACATTTATAGCAATCTTTAATTGCGGGGGTTGTAACTTTTGGGGTGCGCCAAATATTTTTGTTTCTTTGATCGGTTAAGTTTAAATGATCTATAAGCAACCCTAAAACTACCCTCTAAAAATCAATTTCATTCTCGTTTTAAACTTACTTAATTTTCTTAATTTTTAATTGCGGGGGTTGTAACTTTTGGGGTCCGCCAAATATTTTTGTTTCTTGGATCGGTTAAGTTTAAATATCTATAAGCAACCCTAAAACTACCCTCTAAAAATAAATTTCATTCTCGTATTAAACTTACGTAACTTTTTAAGAAATTCACACTTACATTTATAGCAGTCTTTAATTGCGGGGGTTGTAACTTTTGAGGTGCGCCAAATATTTTTGTTTCTTTGATCGATTTTGTTTATATGATCTATAAGCAACCCCGAAACTACCCTCTAAAAGTAAATGTCATTCTCCTTTTAAACTTACGTAATTTTTTAAGAAATTCACACTTACATATTTTATAGCAATTTTTAATTGCGAGGGTTGTAACTTTTGGGGTGCGCCAAATATTTTTGTTTCTTTGATCGGTTAAGTTTAAATGATCTATAAGCAACCCTAAAACTACCCTCTAAAAATAAATTTCATTCTCATTTTAAACTTACTTAATTTTCTACTGTATTCACATACGTATACATAGATGGCAATCCTCGATTGTGGGGGTTGTAACTTTTGGGGTGCGCCAAATATTTTTGTTTCTTTGATCGATTATGTTTAAATGATCTATAAGCAACCCTAAAACTACCCTCTAAAAATAAATTTCATTCTCGCTTTAAACTTACTTAATTTTCTACTGTATTCTCATATACATACATGGCAATCCTCGACGGGGGTTGTAACTTTTGGGGTGCGCTAAATATTTTTGTTTCTTTGATCGATTATGTTTAAGTGATCTATAAGCAACCCTAAAACTACCCTCTAAAAATAAATTTCATTCTCGCTTTAAACTTACTTAATTTTCTACTGTATTCACACATACATACATGGCAATCCTAGATTGCGGGGGTTGTAACTTTTGGGGTGCGCTAAATATTTTTGTTTCTTTGATCGATTTTGTTTAAATGATCTATAAGCAACCCTAAAACTACCCTCTAAAAATCAATTTCATTCTCGTTTTAAACTTACGTAATTTTTTAAGAAATTCACACTTACATTACATTTATAGCAGTCTTTAATTGCGGGGGTTGTAACTTTTGGGGTGCGCCAAATATTTTTGTTTTTTTGATCGATTAAGTTTAAATCATCTATAAGCAACC